GTTGTCAGTGAAAGCCAGGGACATGCCATTGCATATTCCAACATTTTCTCTTTTTCTCAGGGATGTCCGGAAACCATTGTTTTTCTAAAGAAGCTTAGGTATCTCTAATACTGAACTCTAAGCAAACTTGAATCAGAAATACTTAGATGTAACACAGACACCTGCAACGACTCGCTGTTTGTGTAACAAGCAATGTAAGTAGTAATTACAAATTACTTTTTAAGTGTGCTGGATAACAGTTAAGCTTCGAAAGTTACTTTTAAACAGTGTTTCAGAATAGTTTTTGTGGGTTTTCGGGCTCTTTGGCTGTGTTCTGAAGGTTGTTCTTCCTAATGTTTCACCAGTCTCTGTGGCCGGCATCTTCAGAGGACAGCACTCTGTACTCTGGTCCAGAATACAGAGTGCTGTTGTCTGAAGATGCCGGCCACAGAGACTGGTGAAACGTTAGGAAGAACAACCTTCAGAACACAGCCAAAGAGCCCGAAAACCCACAAAAACTATTCTGAAACACTGTTTAAAAGTAACTTTCGAAGCTTAACTGTTATCCAGCACACTTAAAAAGTAATTTGTAATTACTACTTACATTGCTTGTTACACAAACAGCGAGTCGTTGCAGGTGTCTGTGTTACATCTAAGTATTTCTGATTCAAGTTTGCTTAGAGTTCAGTATTAGAGATACCTAAGCTTCTTTAGAAAAACAATGGTTTCCGGACATCCCTGAGAAAAAGAGAAAATGTTGGAATATGCAATGGCATGTCCCTGGCTTTCACTGACAACATTTTGGCAACAAGTGACATGTCCCTGACTTTTGTAGACAAGGTATATTAGGTTCTATATAAAGCAAGTAGAATATGCAACAGAGTGTTACAGTGTGGCTCATACAACAAAGTGTTGCAGTGTAGAGTACTACTGCTCTGTATTTTCATGCAGGCATGCTCCATAATCTTCTCTCTCTCTCTGTCTCTGGTTTTTATCCATGCCCAACCTCCACAAACAGCATTTTCTGGCCACCAAGTTCATATTATCCTCATTGTGCTCCCTCTGTCCTTAGGATTGTTTTTTCTGGAGATTTCTTATTCATTTGTTTATTTTGGTGTTTCCATGCACATGCCGATAACATCCATGTACATGAGTAGTGGCATTCTGGTCACATAATCAATGGCATGCATCTCTGGAGATGCAGGGAAAAAATGGGGAAATGCCTCACACCATCCCCATGCAGCATTCCATTAAACCATGATGATGTGTTATAGTCTGGACTTCATTGTACGTTTACTCATCTTGAGATTTTTTTAAAAAAAAAATCTGACAGCTTGTTGTGCTTGACTTTGAAACCATCAGTGTGCTTTGCAGTATGGTGGGAATCTCAGTTCTGTAAGAAGAGAAGCAGATATCAAATAACAAAAGGTGTTTTGTTAAAGTTTCTTTAGGAATTGTGAAAATTCAGCCAGTAACGGGACCTGAAGAGGAAATAACCTTGACTGTAGGCAGCTACATACTGAGAGTTTTAGCACTTCATTCTGAGGAGAGAAGAAATGGCAGATGGAAAGTTTATTATGAGCTAGTAGTCCTTGTTTATACTGCTGGGAAATTCAGTTGCACATAGCATTGAATCATATATTTTAAAAATATCCCTTTTTTATGTAATGATTGTTTTCAAAAAGATTTGTTGGGTAAGGTCTGTGAAATACCCCCTCCCCAAGTGCTTGATTGCTGAATATGAGTCCCCCCTAAAACTTTGTAGATTCATGAGTCTGAGATATGGAAGGAGGGTCAAAAGAAACAAATACATAATTGATACGAGCTAGACTCAAGAACCAAGAATAATAAACATTAGATGGGAGAACCAGAGTAAGAGTGGAGTGCAGCTATGAAATGACACCTGAGTAGTCTACTCAAGTAGGAAGAAAAATACAAACTAGAAACAAGAGGAGATGGATTGCAAATCCCAAGAGTCCTCTTGACCTGGGCAATCACTCTTATTTAAGTTTTAGTCTTAATTAGCCTGAATGGCTTAGGTCGAGCTAAAACTGTGCAGAGTTGTGTTATTGGCATAACTTCTCTCTTTCCTCCATCTCGTCCCCACCTTTAGCTCACTTGCCAGCAGGTCTTCTTCAGCAGAGTGGTTCTGCTGGCGTATACCTGAGCCTAGCTTGCAGAAAGATGTTTCTGCTGGCACCTGCAATTCATGTATCATTGAATTAGGCTTGCACAGTTATGCGAAGTCACGGTGTCTAGGGGTGCCAGGTAGGAAAGTCCGTGAAACAAAGCTGAACCCACCAATTGCTCAGGTGAGCAGTTACTGTAAATGCTGCAGCCAATTTTTTTTAAAATGGTCCAGCCAGCCATGGTCTGCTGTTGTTGAAACACAGGGGAAAATAAAAATGGAATTTTTTTACTGGAATAAATGTGTTTTAGCTTACTATGCTGGTGGGGGCTGGGAGCACTAAGAAGTCCTGCCTCCAAAAATTAGGATGGGGAAGCCTCAGAATAACCCAGAAATTAAGTTTTACAAAGTTTATCAAAAATGATTAAATGCCCATCTTGTTTATCTTCCAGTATCCAGTTTTTCTGGTGATATGGTGCCTTAATAGAAACATTGTATGCTTTTACATGTAGAGACTTGGTCACAGTTTTAAAAAATCTATTTCACAGAGTGAACAATTTAACTTTGCTCAATTTATTTTTTGAAATGAATCATTTATGAGGAAACTGATATTCCTGCTGTGAGTTGCTTTGTTTTTAAGAAGAGGTCTTCCCTTTTTAATTATGGGATTTCAATAGAATTCAATTGTGTGTGTGTGTCAGTTAAGTATGTCTTAACGCACATTTTTCAAAGCAATATAAATAGGCCAAAATCCAGTTCTTTGCCCCAACTAGAGCAGATTCATTGAATCTGTGAGTTAACAGGTTTCCAGTGATTCAGTGCCTGAACCTACTGTATCTTTCTGTGTCCTGTGCTGACAAATCAGAACCGACTTATAGGGCTTTCAAGGCAAGATATTTAAGGAGTAGTTTTAACAGTTCCACACCCACCCACACCCTGCCCCAACTGAGCTTCCATGACCAAGTGGAGATTCAAACATTTGTTTCCTGAGTCCTAGCTTGTCATTCTATCCACTTATAGCATACTGGAAATCCAGTGTGTATCTTTACACACACACACACACACACACACAAAAAGGATTCATGGAAGGCTTTGTGTTGAATTGACAGGGTACTAGCTGTATGTGTGCTGTGTGCCTGCCTGGCACTTCATCAGTTAACTGTAACTCACCACAGCAGCTTCCAAAGTTCTATTTCTGCATGCATTAAATTGCAGTAGGATTCTGGCCAAAGGGTCTGATCTCGTTGGGACTGACAACTGGATTTAAACTGTAGTGCTTGCTTTTTAAGAAGCTACCAGGAACAGTGAGAGGGATCTCATGTACTGAGACGTTGCTGCCACCAATCAATATGTATAGTTAACAAATGCTAGGGAGTAATAAGAAGTGACATTGGTACTGATGATATATAGCTATTTCTCCATTGGCTTATTTATTTCAGCAGAATTCTTACAGAGCAAACCTTAAATATGTTATGTTGCACAGATGGCATAGCAATTGTCACTCCTTTTACAAACAGATGATGCTGTTTGAAATAGAGAGGAAGTGTTCTTATAATGTTTCATAGCAAATAGAAGGACTTAAAATATATATCTTGATAAATCTGTTGTAGCATTCCAGGAAATCATGCTTTTGCAAATATAAAGAATGTGGCTGCCATTCAGCTACAAAATAAGTAAGTAAGTTTTTAAAAAATGATATTTGACAACAGTTTACAAGAGCTAAAATGACATAATACTTCAAAGACTCTTACATTCTCCAGAATTAAGATCTAGTTTCCTGGAGTATAAGGAACTTTTTATCTTATAAATTCAACAGTGGGGCCAATCTTGATTCTTAGATTTTTAAATAAATGCTTCATATTGAAAATTAAAGTTGCTTCTCGCACTACAATTAATATCCACTGATGTTCTGCTAGTGCAGATTCTGTAGCGGTAGCAGAAATCTCTATTCTTTCTAGAAGAAAAAGTGATGAAACCA